AGCTGTTTGACATAGAAGACATACATGGGAACAAATGGCACTGATTTTAAAAGTATGGTACATTCATGAGATGGAACATACATGTCTGTTCAAAAGAATGAGGTAGACATACAGGAGCTGATCTGGACCAATGTCGATAGTAAAGTGAAAAAATCAAATTACCAAACATGGGATAAGGTGTGATCCCATGTATATCTTCGCTCTGTCCACCGGGGAGAGTTCACAGCTTACCCTTCCTCATCCTCTCCCTGACATCCCTCCACATCGCATTTAGTAGAACAAAACAGGGACCCAGCTTCTTCCCTGAAAAGACAGAACTCTCTGAGAGAGACTAGAAGGTGAAAGGCAGAAGGGAGAAAGAGGAAGATGTGGACAGCGGATGGAGTAAGATAGGAAAATAAAAATAATTTATAAATGATCAGGGGTTCACGACGGTGGGAGGGTGGGCGAGGGTGGGGGGAAGAGGCACTGATACAAAGGGGTCAAGTAGAAAGAAAAAGTTTTGGAAATGATGATGGAACCAAAGTTTTGGAAATGATGATGGCAACCTATGTATAAATGTGCTTGGTGCAATTGATGTATGGATTGTTATCAGAGCTGAAAGAGCCCCCAATAAAACGATTTATTAAAATTTTAAAAATAAATAAAACCAGAGAGAGAGAGAAGTGGGAGAGCTCTGGTGGGCGGTTTTGAGGGGAACAGAGTGGACGAGGTTGAGTCTTTGAGTGTGTGTGATACTAGCCAGGAAAAGAAGTCAAAGAAATAAAGTGTTGGTTTCTGGTTTTAGATGCTATCATGCATTATTCATGAACTCTCCATGTATATCTTTGTGAGATGCTGGAGTATGGGTAGAATAACTTATTTGCTTTCAGTTCTCTTTCTCACACTGTGGCATCATGCTAAACTGAACCCTGTGAGCCTTTGGGACCTATTTAGACCCACCACTCACCCGCAGAAAACTTCAGGACAGAACCAGCACTGGTCACCTGCAGGGAGTGCGACACAGAGTTTGAGAGACATTGATGCGACGGCAGCGCGTTTGAGTTGTGAGTTCTCATGAGGAAGCCCCGGTGTTAAGTGGCTGGGCATTGGTGGCATGGTGCGAATGTGCTCAACCTTCCCCTACAAATCTTACCAAGCCTCCATATCGCCCTATAATGTTCTAGTTCCTAGAAAAAAATAATTCTTCTTCTATATAATTCAAAATAATTTACATACACTTTTGGATTGGTGCTGTTGTTTTCTCTCTTTGGGGGGGGGGAAATGGATAGGTGGTCCTGGTGATGTGACATTACTGGCTGGCTCAACTCTCCTGGCCTAGTCTGAGAACTTAACAATGCTCATGAGAATATCTTTAACAGGAAAATGAAGTCCAAGTTCCAATCTACCAATAAGCCAATGAACTTTTCCAACTGGCTCAGATCTGACGAAGGACAGGTATGGAACAGTCTGACGGTATTTTCATTCTGTTTGGCGTCCACATTGCTCAAGGGTATGTGACGGGGTAGACCTCCCCCTGGGCCTGTACATAGAGATTCTCAGAAGAAACATAACGAGCATACGAAAGAGTCTACATTCTGTTGTCCGCGAACAATGTCCAGTTTGTTTGATGAAACACCAAAAACCCGGCATCGTCTTGTCTTGTCAAAGGGACTTACTTCTCATGAACCAACATAAAACTAGGAAGAGGGGAGCTGAGCCCGATGCAATGAACTGAAGAACATGAACATGTCAAACACAGGTATTTTCTAGGGTAGCAGTTAAAATGTAGCCAAGATCAGAAGTAACAAAATCACCACTAGAAACTTGACAGGGGACCTCCATGGAGGTGTTGCAAACAGTATATTAACCTTGTAAAACTGCTACAGCAGATGGTAATCCAGTCACCTCTTAGTACCTCATGTCTAGGGAACTGCCCAGGTCCTTGGGAAGGGTGAGCACAAAGCCCACTTATGGCCCGCAGATGGCATGCATTAGCTGACAGCGCCCCGTGGGAGCTGCTCAGGGCACACGGGACGGGTGAGAAGCACTGCTCAGCCACCGTCTCCACTTCACATTCTAGAATGGTCAAGGCTTGGAGTGCACCTGCCTCATTTGGACACATCTCTTTGTTGACATCGCCTGAGATGAAGGGGAAAAAGGCGAACTCTGACAGCATCCGCTCCTCCCATTTCTCTGAACGCGGTTGGCTCTGGATTATGTATAGCCCTTCTACCTACGACAACTTGGGGAGCAAAAGGTTCAGCTCTCACTCATTTGCAATGAGTCAACACAGGTTGGATTTCTTGAAATTCAGAACACTGCAGAGTAACTCCTTAACAAGTTCCCAGGAAGCGAGACTCAAGGGAGGTGCAGGGCCTAGTCACCAGCAAGACGAACTTGAGTGTGCAGTTACAGAGAAATTACGACGTGCCCAAATGTATCCAAAATAGTATGGGGTGTATTCGGGTAGACTTGATTACACTTATAAGAAAGGTCTTTTTGTTTGATGCAAGTTTAAGTTGGGTAAGTGAGGTGCCAACCTGGCCAATAAACGCATGTGGGGTTAATTGAAGGGCAGAGGGATAAATGGCTCGGTGAGCTTCGCATTTCCAGTTCTTGAGTCTCTTTCTTTCTGATGGTCAGACCAGGGTGCAGCTGCCTTAGCCAGTTCCCTGCTTCAACTGGCAAGGCTCACTTCCTACAAAACATGCCTGAGGAGAAGCCACATGGACCAACCCTGATGCAGCCCTGGGTGCTGGAGCAGCCTTGTGGAGACCCCTGCCAGCACTGAGATGCTTACACATTCACTGACTCGGCTTTCCGCCTGCAGTCGACATCATTGCGTATGTTTTGTGAGATGGAGGAGGACTTAGTGGATTGGTGTCAGACATATGGGTTAATGCTGGACTTGTGGGCTTGGGCAGCAGTGGGTTGGGATGTTTTCTTGATGTGCACTTAACCGTTATATAAAGCTCTCTTATACACGAGTTTCAGTGGATTTGTTTCTCTAAAGTACCCAGACTAATACAGTAAGCAACTGTTGGTTGATTAAGGGGTAAGTAATTTAGAAAAATCAGTCATTGAAAACCCTATGGAGCACAATTGTACTATGACCCACAAGGAGTTGACAGGTACTGGAATCAATTCAGTGGCAACTGGTTTGCTGGTAACAGGCCATCAGAAAAACCATGCTGGAGTTATGGGAAAGAGGATTCAAACATGCATGCAGGTGTGTGACCTTCTGCTGGAAGCAATGGACCACTTTGAAGCTTTGTGCTTCAGCGCGGACCCAGCAGGTCACCTGCATGTTGGAAGGGAGAGGAGGCTGAACAGGAAGAGTCAGGGTACCTCCTGCGCTAGCCTGCAGAGTGGGGCTGGCTGGGGCTGAGGGGAGCCTGGAGGAAGGAAGACTTTCTCAGTCTGCACCTCCTGGCAGGAGTCCATCCATTCATCCAGCAGCCTCTGGTCTGGCTTCCTGAGACCCCGCCCAGGAGTTCAGAGAGGTAACAGCCACCAGGGCCTGCCTCTCCTTACAACACCGAGGTTCAGAGAATGACGCCTTATCTCTTTGTATTCAATTCTAATTTTCTTAGAACCCACAAGATTCATCATACTGAATAGACATTTTACTGATCATGGGAAAGTCTACAGTCCAAGCCCTCAAGGCAACCCCTTCAAAGTTAGATTAAAGCTGACTCACAGTCTAGATGCCAAAGCGCTTCACCCACAAAGCAGTGCAGAAACCACCCACAGAAGTTCTGAAAACACCCTGGGGTCACTGTGGTGCCAAGTCTGGCCTGTGGATCTGTGCCGTTCACTTGGCTTCCCCCTTTGCCACTGTCTGGTTCCTCTGTGCCTCTGGGCCAGGTCTGGCTTCCTTACCAAGTGCCTCATTTTTGGTTTCCTATTTTTGTCTGATCAATCAGATCCTGGATTCCCCTCTGCTCTTGTCATGTTGACCCTGGTGCCGGCTCCGCCCAGCTGTGGCCCGAGGCTCTTACTCAAGTGGGAACAGGCAATCACCTGGGCTCTGGTTTCCTCATTCACATCCCGCCACCCTTCTGCCTGTCCTCCCATGTTTCACAGGGCTGGATCTGGATTCACCTTCTGCTTAGCCTCTCTGGGTCAGCATCATGCTGGTATGGTCTACAGAGCCAGGAAATTCCGTATCTGTCCAGAGTGGTGCGCCTGCTCTCCAGGGACATATCTACAATGTGGGCATGGGCACGCGCACACACACACACACACACACACACACACACACCACACGCACACTTTCAGGGCACCTCTCTAGCAGTGACTTTGTTCTGTGGGGGCAGATTGAGAGTGTTGAACCTCAGTGTATGGCATGTAGGTCTCTGTACTCCTTCCCACGAATTGACATCAGTTAAGCTACGTTTATAGCCCACTGCCAATCAGGGTCTCAGCACTGAACTCTCAGCCTTAGATTTCAGCACAGCCCTCCTCCATTCCCCAGTCCCTGGGTTACAAGAACATCTAGGGACAAGCCCCACTGGGCTGGAGGACCCGAGGCCAGTAAAGAAACTACTCATCCCCAGAAGCTCCTTGTATGAAGAAATGAGAGGTGCCCAAGTGCCTGGGTCATAAGGTGGTTTATAAGGGCAAAGGGCTCATGGGAAAGCAGCTGACCCATGGTAGGTAGCCCCACAACTGGCCATGCCCACCGACATCAGCAGAGGCTAATGGCACAGGCTCCCGAGGTCTGGGACCCCTGCTCCCCTCCCAGCTCCCACCCCGTGTCACTGCCAGCCGCACGGCATTGTAACCACCCGCTCCGCCCCGAGGCAGCACCTCATTAGTCTCAGCACACGCACAGTGCTCGGCGCACAGAAGGAACTTTACAAATTTTGAATGACTGCATAAATGAACCAACAAAGCAGGGTTGGGTTTTACCTGCTAATTGAGAAGTAGCCGGTAACACTCGACATGAAGTAGTAAGCAACGGGACTTCGTGACGGCATTCTTCGCCTTGACCCGAGCCTCCTCCCAGAACTTACTTGTACGGCTCCATGGTCCGGATGCCATAGCACAGCGCCTCCTCCCACAGGCCAAGGTGGATGCAAGCGTCCAGGGCGCAGTCAAGCACCTTCAGCTGGTAGATGTTGATGTCGGGAAGCCGCGCCGAGTTGCTGCTCACAATCGACTGGCATATTGCCAGCACCTGTTCCCACTCTGATGAACCGTAGTTAAGGATTCGTTGTCTTCATCAAGAAAAACACAAACACGAACTGAGAGTCTCTAAAAGGCTGCGGAGCTCCCAGGCACAGTGTGGTGGGGTGCGGGGAAGCACCCGTTATCGGCACGGATGAGCTTCCTTAAAAGACATTTGCAGAAAGCAGCATCGCGGCTAAGCAAATTCTGTTGACATCAACAACGCATCTTCTAAGTGGGCCTGCACTTTGGGGGTTACATTCTCCCAAGAACCCTTCTTTGTTTAAACTTAGCCATGAAGTAAATAAATGCAGCTGTTTATTAAACTGGATGAAAGATGAAATTCACTCAGTTTAAAAGTATGGGATCTCTTAACTTATTTCAAAACTGATATGAAATTGAGGAGGTTTTAGAGAGATTCCTTTATTAAAAGGAGGAGCTTGTGTTTGCTCCTGTGCCAGTTGAATCTTAGGCAGGAATTGAATCTTGTGTGTAGTATACATACAAACAACACACACATGTAATGGAGAGGCAATGTGAGGACATTCGTTTTTTGCTGAATCTCATGCCTACAGTTTTAAAGCAAAAGTGATCCAAACCTACACTTAATCAAATAAAGGTTAATATATATGGTTTATGCAAATCAACTGAACACAGGGAAATTGTGTTTCAAAAGAACCCGCTATCAATTTCCGGGCAACACTGCATTTCTGATGATCGTGAGTCAATGCCTTAATCTTATGGGCCCTCATGGACTCCCCACTTTTTACAACTGCCACGCATGGTTCTCTTCAGCGGTTCTCAACCTGTGGGTCGTGACCCATTTGGGGGTCAAATGACCCTTTCACATGGGTCACCCGATTCATAACAGCAGTAAAATTATAGTTATGAAGTAGCAACAAAAATGATTTTATGGTTGGGGGTCACCACAACATGAACTGAATGAAAGGTGTATGGCAGGAGGAAGGCTGAGAACCACTGTCTCAGAGGCAGGGGACTAGGGTTATAGGAAGGGTAAGCTCCCCATGTCCCCTAATCTCCCCTGTATATTAGTCTGGGTTGACTAGAGAAGTAAATCCAGGGATACCCACGTGTGTATAGGAAAGAGCTTCATATACAAGAGAAATTGAATATTGCAAAAACATCCCAGCCCAGTCCAGATCAAGGTCATATGTCCTATACCAATCTACAAAGTTCTCTTTAGACTCAGGAAACACAGGCAATGACTTCGAATGCAGGAAGATCAAAGGTGGCAAGTCTTGTGAATCCAGCAGCGTTGTGATATAGTTAAAGTTTATTGTGCCAAACTGGCTGATAAACACGTGGGGTTAATTAAAGAGAGGAGAGATAAATGGCTCAGTGAGCCTCGCGCTTCAAGTTCTTGGGTCTCTTGCTTTGTGATGGTCAGACCAGGGTGCAGCTGCTTTAGCCAGTCCCTGCTTTAGCTGGCAAGGCTCACTTCCTGCAAGACATCCCCGAGGTGCAGTTCTGGGTGCTGGAGCACCTGTGTGGAGGCCCCTGCCAGCACTGAGATGCTTACACATTCACTGATTCGGCTTTCCTCCTGCAGTTGGCGTCATAGTGTGCGTTTTGTGAGATGGAGGACTTTGTGGATTGGTCCCAGCCATATGAGTTAATGTTGGACTTGTGGACTTGGGCAGCACTGGGTTGGGATGTTTTCTTGATGTGCACTTAACCTTTATATAAAGCTCTCTCTTATACATGAGTTTCTGTGGATCTGTTTATCTAAAGTACCCTGACTAACACACGTTGTAAGCATCTCAGCGCTGGCAGGGGTCTCCATGTGACTCCTCCAGCTCCAGGCTTTGGCTGCCATCAGCCCCAGGGAGTGAGCAGAGAGAGAGTGTGTCTCCTGCCTCCAAGGAGGAATACCGGTGGTTCCAAGAATCCTCAGGAGAAAGCCATACCCACACAGACGCCTCATTGACTATGACCTCATTGAAAGGCTAGACTCCACCCCTTCATTCTTTTTAAATTTTTAAATAATCATTTTATTAGGGGCTCATACAACTCATCACAATCTGTACATACGTCATCTGTGTCCAGCACTTTAGTACATATGTTGACTTCATCATTCTTACGACACCCACTTTCCACTTGAGCCCCTATTGTCAGCTCATTTTCCCCCCTCCCTCCCCCCT